AAATTAATAGTATTAACAAATTCTATAACGACAGTAAGCCTAGCATTATGTTTTTAACTGCTTTTTTTTCTTGTCAACATGTTTGCTCCCATTGGAATACATAAGAACGTTCGGGAACTTTTGACTTTATTATTCATCTCATTAGTATGGTACCAAGTCTGAAAAATTATGAGAGTAGCCACCATAATTTAAGTCATGAATACATGCACCTCAAACTTAATGGTCAAAATGCAAGTTAAGAAGTACTTTCCCCAAATCATATATATACTAATTATTAAATTTGTCATCCGAATTACCAGCAATTTTTAGGTTAGATTGTGTCCACTCCGCAGGGCTACATGCATTTAACGTATACCGGAAGCCCTAAAGGAGCACCGCGCCTGAAATTAAAGAATTAGGCATGCATTTGTTGCATGCCCGAATATTAGGTAACCACGTTTTTTTTTTTTTTTTTTTTTTTTTTTTTTTGTCTTTTTTATTCTCCTTCCTTCTTAAAATATTTATTAGTGTTTCTTTGACTTTGCCAACGAATAAAAACTTTTTTTTAATTTTTTTTGCAATATTACCTTAAGAAAAAGAGATAAAGAATGAAAGAAAAGATTTTGGTGATAAGTTTAAGGTCTTTTTTTTTTTAATCAAAATAATATGAATAAGGATGTAGTTTACACTATTGTAAGTTTAATAGTAAATTTTTACACTAATTTTTTTTAGTCACATATTTTAGACTATTAAAATAGAAAAAATAACTATTATTATGGGACAATTCATTTTTTCTCAACTTTGTCTCAAAATAATATATTTTTTAATTTAAAATTTATAAAACAATCATTTTTTCTTATTTTAAGAGACAAAAAGCATTGTAATTAAGGCTAACTCATTCCTACTGCCCTATTACAGATAGACAATTCTCCTAAAAAGTAAGGGTTCCTGGAAGGGCCTAGGTCCCACTAAACTTTGATGAAATATGAGTAAGGGACTCTCAATTTCCTTTTAAACTTCTTTTAGTCCATTCAATTTTATTTTTATCATTTCTATCTTTAAATCATTTATTTCATATCTTTCTTTTTCTAGTTTTTTTTATGATCAAGATTATGATTATTATTATTATTATTTGGTGATGATAAGAAAGACAAGAATAATAAAGATAGAAGGATGAGGAAAAATGAAGATTGATTGAGTGGAAAATGGTTCATTATCATTATTTTAAAACATGTTTATTTATTAAGATTCTTTTATTGTTTATTATTTTTTCATTAATATTCTTCCACTTAATATATGGTCATTTAATCTACCATGTAAACGTCACCTAAGAAAAAACAAAAACTCTCACTTTTTATTAGTAACACTAAAACTCAATAAAAAAAAAAAAGCTTTTACATTTTTTTTTCCATGTAACACTTAATTATGTGATAGATTATGTGACATCAGATAAGTGTAAATGTGATAGATTATGTGGCATTATATAAGCCAAGTTGTTATCATCTACTAGTCAAACTATTGAAAAACCCACAGAATATACCACATTTATACACATTTTGAAATTATAAATTAAACCATCTTAAAAGAAAATAAAATTTCTAAACTAAAGTGATAAAAATCTGATAAGTAATGACGAATTATTAAATTTAGCTTGTTTTAGCCAACACACTTGCTGGGTCACTTGTAAAATTATTAAATATTTTTCACACAATCGAGAATTTGAGAGAGACTGTTTTAAATTCTTTATTCTACCACCTGAATCAACCGTATGCTCACATTCAAAACCAAAATAATGCCGGAGCATGAATCACAAGTCCAATTAATGTAGCAGAACTGTTGATCAAGACAATAATACTATCAGTGAACATTACAAAAAGAAAAAGAAAAAAGCTATTAAAAATTAAATAACAGTGATTGATATACATTTTAAATTAGGACTCTGATTGGTGCACACCCGGATCCAACACCCGGGTGTGCACCCCCATATAAAAAAAAAATTTTGACCGGGTGGGTGATGGGCATTTTTTTTTTTCAAAAGGGAGTGTGCACACCCGGGTGTTGACCCGGGTGTGCACATATTATTTTCCTTTAAATTAACATATTATATAACACATTTATTAAAAAATTATTACTTTTTAATTTGAAATTAAATGTAGATTGGTTTAAATATACAATCATACATACAGGATGTAGGAATCAATTGAATATATTGTATTTATATTATATTTTTAATAGTTAAACTTAAAGTTTGTCAAAAAAAATGTGTTAAAATTTAAGTCTTGTGGCTATCATTCAAGAAAATTAATTTTTTTAAATGCATTAAACTAATGTGGGGGTGCACATTTAAGATTGCTTTAGGAGCAATTAGACTTAAGATGATACTTTAACAGTAAATACTAGTAAAAAGAAGACAACTATGAACATATGTTTAGTATAAGGACAATAACGAACAGAATATCAAAGTCAAGGGACGTTCATCGGCTTTAAGTTCTAACCCCTCTGACACTCCGTCTTTTGAAGGAAGGATTAACCCGCCCACTTTCCATTAGGGCTGGAGCCCATTGATTAATGGCAACAATTCTGGCCCTCCTTGTTTGAGATTTCTTTTTGGGCCTTTTCGTCGTTCATAAGCCCAACTCAAATTTTGCTGACTCACTCAAGTCTCTGCTCTGACCGTCACACATCCCAGTTTCCACGAAATCCCGCTACCCGATTAGACCACATCGTTCCACGTGGCTACAAATCATTGGCTAAAACAACGACAGGGGTTACGCTCATTGGCTGATTTCCGCAAGAACACGTTGCCAAAGAAAACTCGGCAAAAACCTAATATTAACCCTTCACCTTACTAGATTTGTAAATTTTAGTTTTTCACTTTATAATATAACACTTTTAATCCTTCATCTATTAGAATTAAAGAAAATAATCTTTATTTTATAATATTTCATTAGTTTTGTTAATTAAATATTAATTTTATTAATTAATTGTTAACTTTGTTATTAAAAATAAATTTTTACTAATTAATAATGAATTAATAATCAGTTAATAGAATTAGCAGTTAATTAATAAAGTTAACAATCAATTAATAAAATATAATCCGTTAATTGACTGTTAATTTTATTAATTGAAAATAAGTTTTTATCAATTAATAATTAATTAATAATCAGTTAATAAATTAATATTTAATTAACAAAAATAATAAAATATTATAAATAATGACTATTTTTTTAATTCTAATAAGTGAGGGGTTAAAAATGTTATAAGTATAAACTGAGGGATTAAAATTTAGGTTAAATGCTAAATTTGGTCTCTTAACTTTAAGAAATGCACATTTTTTATCCCTCAACAATTTTTTGCACTTTTTTGATCCCTCAACTCTAATAAATGCACACCGTTAATCCTTCTGTTATTTCTGCCGTTAACTCTGCATATGTGGCATTTTTTATATTTTTTTTAATGATGTGGAGCGTAAAACATAAAAAAGTAATGACATGGACAAAACGTTTTGCCATATTCAAACAGAAAACATTTTCTCAGCATCCAAACACCCTTCTAACCAAATAAATGAAAACCCACTAAGAATTGCTTCTTTACCCATTAATCATTGCTTCTGTTCTTTCCATTTTGAACATTGAAATCATTCAAATGATACTTAAAAAATATGAAAAAAAGAATATCAAAAATCCCTCACAACTTGCAATTTACAGAAAAATCTCTTCAAACAAGCATATAACAAAAAAAAAAAAGTGAAGTTGGGTTCGGTGAACTCAGTTGTTGGGTTCGATGGAACCCAATAGATCTGAGTTCAAGGAACCCACCAACTGGGTTCCATCGAACCCGAGCTGGGTTTGGTGGAACCCAGTTGCTGGGTTCCACCGAACCCATATTTGCTGGGTTCCCTTGAACTAGGTTCAAGGGACCCAACAACAGAGGAAGAAGACGAAGAAAGAAGAGGAAGAAAGAAGAAAAAAAAAAGGAAAGGAAGAAGATGAGTCGAGCTTTTTTATTCTTTTATTAAAAATATAAATTCTAAACAAATTTAATTTATGAGTTGGCATTGAACACATCATAAAAAAAAATTCCAAATCAGCACTTTTTAATGTTGTTTTTGCCATGTCATAAAAAAAACATAAAAAATGCCACATGGCGAAATTAACGGTCTAAATTGACAGAAGGACTAACGGTGTACATTTTTTATAATTGAGGGATCAAAAAAGTGTAAAAAATTATTAAAGGACCAAAAATGTGCAACTCACTAAAGTTGAGGGACTAAATTTAGCATTTAACCTAAAATTTATAAAGATAAACGGTTAAAAATAGATTTTTGGAAGTAAAGTCAGCCTCACAGGTCATGTCGGTCGAAACCTCTGTTAATGATTTCCATTCTCCGTTGTCTAAGCTCCAAAGCTAGTTTCGAGCGAAAAAGGAAAAACTGGAAAAACACAACCGAAGAAGAAGAAGAAGGAGCTAAGTAATCTCATTGAGGAAGAGTTCTAATCTCTCTCAAATTCCGAGCAATCACAGAACTAGATCTGATACGAATTCCTGAAATTTTAGAGCTCCGGAGAGATCTTCTCTCCCGATCTTCAATCCATGGCCCATCGGAGATTGTCGCTACTGTTTCTGTTTTGCGCTTTGTGTTACGCTCTCGCCGCCATTGCAGCGTACGTGTCTACCCTCCATTTCTGTGTGTATAACCGGCTTTTATGTGTTTGTGGATTTTCGTGCGTTTTTGATTTGTTTGCAATATGATTGATTGCAGGAAGAGCTATTATGATATATTGCAAGTGCCGAGAGGAGCGTCGGATGAGCAGATCAAGAGAGCGTATAGGAAGTTAGCGTTGAAGTATCATCCTGACAAGAATCAGGGCAATGAAGAGGCGAACAAGAAGTTTGCTGAGATTAGCAATGGTAATTCATGTTCTTTGGTTAATAAGTGTGTTAACTTCACATTTTGAGGAGATAAAACGTGCACTTTTAGTTTATTGAATGATTAATTTGTTTTGTTATCTTGGTTGGTGATTAGCTTATGAGGTGTTGTCTGATAGCGAGAAGAGGAATATATACGATAGGTATGGTGAGGAGGGGCTGAAGCAGCATGCAGCTAGTGGAGGCAGAGGAGGAGGAATGGGGGTCAACATACAGGATATTTTTAGCAGGTAAGGTTTATACTTTGCACTTTTCCTTTTTATGAACTGAGTATTGCCAAATTATGTTTAATTGCTTGCAGGATTTAATTAACATTTCTTTATAGATTGACACTGTGTAAGTTATTGAATTGCTTGAGTGCAATACTCCACTAACGTTAAAGGGTTGGATATTTAATTTCTTATAAAATGAACAAATGGAAGGAGAAAGTTATGATCCTCTAAAATTTATCCTTAATTCTACAGACTTCACCTTTCACCATCATAATTGAACTGAAAATGGAAATAGTTAAAAAAAAAAGAGGTTTATTTTTTTGTGCAGGTGAGCTAGTAAAGATAAACCCTTCGTGTTTTTAGTCTCTAAATCTATGGACAGGTTACCTTTAACCTTGCAATTTCCTTTTCTTATTTATATATCTATGTCATGGGACAAGCTCAAACTTATTTTTATATGCCTACATTATCATCAGTAGGAGATGCAGGTAGCCATTACTTAAAATGTAAGATGGTTATACTGAAATTTGTAGCACTACTATTACAATTGTATTTCTTGTTCAAAGTAATCATCAAGTCAGTGTAAATGATGAGTATAAGCCTTGTCATTGCCTCATAGTGCTCTGTTTTCTTATGGAGTGTTTTTTTCTTAGTTTTTTTGGTGGTGGCACAATGGAAGAGGAAGAGAAAATTGCCAGAGGGGATGATGTGATTGTTGAATTGGATGCAACTCTTGAAGATTTGTACATGGGAGGTTCATTAAAGGTGAGGAAGTATCTCTTGTTGGTTATCAAGACTAGTTTCTGTGATAACATTTTGCACATCTGCATGTTATCCAACCTTTTGAGCTTGGGAAGCTAGTTTTTAGTTAAATCATTCTGGCACATAACTTCATCCAACCAGTAGTTAATCTCCTAATTGTTTTTGTTTTGTTGTCTAGAAGCCAACAGGTAAATAGATTGTACATGAAATGATGATGGTTTAGATGTTAGGGTGCTTAGGATGCTTATGGTGCCGATGGTGTAATTTCTCTCCTGCGATTACTTAATGAAAGGGACAGTAAGAATTAAATTGCTATTAGCTAGGTGCTTGGTTTTCTTCTAAGCTAACCTTCAATACTTTCCAGATTTGGAGGGAGAAAAACGTTTTAAAGCCAGCCCCAGGAAAAAGACACTGCAACTGTAGAAATGAGGTCTATCACAGGCAAATAGCTCCAGGGATGTATCAACAGATGACAGAACAGGTATGGTGACTCAGTGATTTATTTTTGAATTGCTGCAATGGCAGCATATGATCTTTATTTCTTGGGCTGTTTTTGCTCTCTAGACAAAAGTGTCTTATGTTGTCATTTTCTACTTTTAATAGATTCTCCGTGTTTCCTTTTTCAGGTTTGTGAGCAGTGCCAAAATGTCAAATATGAGAGGGAGGGATATGAACTTACAGTTGATATTGAGAAAGGAATGCAAGATGGGCAAGTAAGTCTTATGCAACTGCTAAGTGAGCTCACTTGTCTTAGTTTTGCCTATTTTATATAGCATTTTATGCTTTCCTACCAGCATATTTATTTCATTAAAATCCTTTTTCCTTTTGTGATTTAATATCTAAAGGGAATTGCAAAAGAAGAGTCATTGATCATATAAACAAATAGATTATTATTAGGCCTGCTTTCATCATCTCTGTTTTCAGAACCATGTTTCATGTGCATTTGCAGGAGGTTGTTTTCTACGAAGATGGTGAGCCTATAATAGATGGAGAACCTGGAGATTTGAAGGTTAGCCCTATATGCTGGTTTGAGTTCTGTGCTATTTTTTCTTTATATGATATAATTGCTTCACAAAGTACCAAGGGTGGGGGATGGACTTGCTATTTGCTGTAGACCCTTATCTAAAAGCACTACTCTTTGAACCCAAATCTTAACCCAACTCTCTAATCTGAACTCCTAATGCTGACCCTCCTTTTTGATAACATAATTCAACATTCTATTGCGTATTAGTTAGGCCAACTAGCATATCAGCATTTCTGCTGTTCTTTCTTGTTTTTGACAATGATTATTGCCCGTTCTGCAGTTCCGCATTCGCACAGCACCCCACGATCACTTCAGGAGGGAAGGCGATGATTTGCATGCCACTGTCAACATAAGTCTGGTAAGTCTTCTTCCTGGGATCATCCCTTTCCATCTTTCCTTTTTATCTTCTTATCCAATGGAAATCATAATCCAATCAATTTCTCTACTTTCTACAGGTTGAAGCTCTTGTTGGTTTTGAGAAGACCATTGAACACCTTGATGAGCATTTAGTAGACATCGGCTCAAAGGTAAGAATGAGATAGTCTTGATTAATAACTAAACAATCTCAAATAAGCAAGTTTCATGAAATGATTGTATTCCTTGCCCAGCGTATAACAAAGCCGAAAGAAGTGAGGAAGTTCAAAGGTGAAGGGATGCCATTGCATTTTAGCAACAAGAAAGGGGACCTCTACATCACCTTTGAGGTTCAATTCCCCAAATCACTGACAGAAGACCAGAAGGCCAAAATCAAAGCAGCTCTTGGCTAAGATGTAGGAGCATGTTCTTTTTGCGGGGTCATAAAAAATACCCACTGTCACTTGAGTAGAACATGGATAGGGAATAGTATTAATTCTTGAGGGGTTTGATTTCTCTCCTCGCTGAGCCTGCCCTCCTTTCCCCACAATTAACAAAATAGCAGAAACTGTCCCAAAATGTCTTCAACCATTCTCTTAAGTCCTGCATTTTTTTTGGGCCTATTTTAGCGAAGACGGTCTTTTTGTCTCGTATCATACGGATCCTTGACATCGCTATATATCGTGTTTCTTGTTGCCTTCACAAAAATGGTAGTGTTATCTATTTATTTATTTTTTTGATTGTAGGAAACATGGTGAATAAATTAGTATCTGTTTGAGTACCAGTCGAGAATTCACCTGATTATCATATGCTAAGCTCTACCTTGTTTTTTACATAAAGAAACATGACCACTTGATCACACCTGGGAATGCAAAATAATAGTGTTATTTATAATGATAGAAATTGCAAGCTTAGGCGACGTTGCCCCTTTTGCATTTTTAAGTACAAGCGAGAAAAAGCACTGGTTTCATCCCAAAAAACAAAGAGGAAAGAAAAATGCATTGGTAATGGCAAAGGCAACCTCATAATAAATTTATTTCTTCTTTTTTAAAGGCATTCGAGAAACCATTTAACCCCATTGAATTACCCAAATTGCTTGTAAGTCCCTCAACTTAGTGGCATTCCGTAAACTGTGAGTTAATGACTTAACGGCAACCATTCCGGACTCGAAACGGGAGTAAAAATACATAATTTTACATATTAGTCCTTTCAATCTGATAATTAATTATCGCAATGCTTTATAATTTAACTTTGAAAGCAAAAGAATATATTTGGCTTGAGGGGTGGAGGAGAAAATTCCTCCATATGATTACTAAAAAAATTAAAGCGAAAGAGAGAAAAGTTTTTTATTTTATTTATTTTATTTTTAACTTTCAATTCTTTATTTCTCCAAATGAAGGGAAGAGATGGAAATAAAAAGACATGCCATCCTCCTATTCTCCTCCCCTTCCCCTCCTCTCCTCTCTACACTTCTTTCTTTCATCTCCTTCAAAATCAAACCTATCTAAAAGTTTCCAATGCAGTCACTATTTTTTTTATTAATAAGTGGGATTATAAGAATAATAGTAAAACTAGAATAGTAATATTTAATGTTGTTCTAAAATAAGGAGTGAGACAATTAATTCACACCTTAATTTAGTAGATAAATGATTAATAAACAATTGTTTTATATAATTTTTTCACGTAATTTTGTATGTTATTTAATGATTAAGTCTTTTACTTTACAAGAACATGTGGGTATGCATTTATTTATTTAATAATATAAAAATTATAAATAAAAATTATGCAAAAAGATTCTCTGCATATTATTACTTAATTTATTACACAAGACAATTAAATCAAACAAAAAAAATATGATGAAGGTATTTTCAAATAGACAGTTTTTTTAAAAAAAGAAATTCTAATTTACCTACCATTTCTTTAAAGTTTATTTTTTTAACACTAATGATTAAAGTTAAACTTTTTTTTTTGTTGCACAAGGAGAGGTAATTTTCTCTAAGTCCTTATCTCATCCGACTCTATTTGCATGCCATGCTATTCAAACTTAAGATATCTAATTTTTAATAAAAAAAATTACTATTAAATTACTTTGATCATTGATAAAATTAAACCATTTAAAATTAAAAAGAAAAAAGAAAAAAGAAGAAGAAGAAGAAGATAGAAACGTTCAATGATTTTGAGTCACAATTTTCGGCCACATTTACGGACCTAACCCGAAAAAGAAAGATATGGGCCGATTGGTTGCGAGTTAACGAGCTACTGGGCTTAATTTTTTTTCCCCGTGGCTAACGCTGCCCAACCTCCTGTTCTACTGTTGTTTTTCAATGTTAGTTATTTTTTATTAAGCCTTTAGATACGGTTATTAATGAGAAGGGGAAAATTATGAGGTTATACTTTAATTTCAATCATTAAATATATATATGATATAGTGTGAATTTTAATTTTATTAAATTCATAATATAATATTATTAAACTTTCAATATTTTGAATATCAAAACATTGTAATTTTTTTATTAATAAAAGCATTAGCCATCTTTTAAATATTAAATATTAAATATTTAATGCTAATAGTTTAAATAAATATTGGCCTCCTGTTCTAGGGCACTAGCTGATTTTATGAAAGCATTAGCCATTAGGATTACCAATATCATTATCATGCCTAGCCAATTTAGCCATTCGTTTCTGTCATTTGAAAGATTTCTCTACATTGTTTTGACCAATAAAGATCACTAATTATGAAAAGAATGCCAATTTATCATGTCCATCGAGAATTAAAATAGAACTAGTAGGGGATCATGACATAAATGTATTTTGCGTGTTTATTTCTCATAGTTTCTTCCACAATATTTATCCTTTTTTTTTTTTTAATTATAGGTAAGGATTAAGAATTGCATTACTTTATGGAGCTCCGAAGCAAACAGGGATTCTTTTTGTTTTAATTAACATTTTAAAAGGGCTTAATTCAAAAAATCATCTACTAACTTTCAGTTTAATTTCAATTTCATTTATTATCTTTGAATTGTTTCAATTCTATCTATTATCTTTCACATTTATTTCAATTTCATCTAAGCAGTTAAAGTTAACAGAAATCCTAAGGAAAATCTTCTTAAACCTTAGTACTCTAACTATGTTTCTTTTAATTTTTTGGTCCTTAAATTTATATTCACAGTAAAAATAGTTTTTATTCTTATTTTACTAAATGTGTTTTTCAGAAAATTGTTTTACAGAGCAGACTACTTTTAGTCCACCCCGTAAAATTATTTAAATACCCTTAATTTTATTTTTATATTATTTTTGTATGAACATTTAAATAATTTTATAAAACAGATTGTATACAGTCTGTCATATAAAGCAGACTTATTCTTAAAATTTCTTCTCTGAACTTACTGAATTTCTTTGTCTGAATTACAATCTATCTCTATAAACTATTTTTTGATTCATCATATTTTATTAGGATTTAAGTGTCACTTTTTTAAAACTTAAAGGACTGCTCTTTCTTCAAATCTAAGGGCAATATAACGTCTTCTTTGTACAGTAGACTAATTTAAAATATTTTTCGAAGTTTCTAGATAATTTAGAAATGAAACAAACTTTCTAGACTAAACTGAAATTAAACTGAAAGTTAGTAGATGATTTTTTGAATTAAGCCATTTTAAAAGTAATGATTTATCTATCTTGTATTTTTTAAAATAAAAAATAAAAAAATAATTGTGTGATTATTATAATTTATTATTTTAAAAATAATAAAATTAACTTTTGTTCTAATGACAAATGTCACATGTTTATTATTTATTTATTTATTTTAAAATTAAAATCAAAATTTATTTTTTAATTTAAAATCTCTCATTTTTAAAAAAAAAATGATAATTATTAATTAATAATTATTTCTTATCCGGCCCTTAACGCACAGGACAGACAACCCTTAAAAACAATTATCAACTTTGTTTTTCAAACAAACTTTCATTCATTCCTCATTTATTAAGGGTAGTTTTTCCATTTCATATTACACACGAGATATTTTATTCTTCATAGCGGACCAAAAGAGGCTTTCCTAATAAAGTTTTTAGAAATATGAAATATGCAGCATGCATTATAAAATAAAAATCCTCATTTTCTCAATTGCGACTGCTTTTTCTAACACAAATGGTTGTAATAAAAAGACATTTTAAATAATATTTTAACATAATTTAAGTATAAATTATTACAATAAAAAGATCACAACAAATAAATTTTTTTTATAGTTACGTGTTTTTTGTTTTTCTAATTTAATAGAACAAGTGACTTAAATTTGTAAAAGAAAATGGAGAAAAAAAACACAACTTAAAGCTTTTACCATCAAAGTTTAGAAATGTTTACACTAAGAATAAAATTTATTTGAACAGTATGCTCCGAACCAACGACATTAAATCTTGAATTAGTATTATTCACAGATTACATGTTTGAACCTTACAAATCTCTTTCTCCCTTTCTCCAATTAACATATAAATAATTACAGTCTATTCAAAAAAATAAAATTTACTTTAATTATTAAGACTCAACAATAAGGGTTTAAGTATCATTTTGGTCCCTCAACTTTTCACTTTAACACCATAATTGTTCTTTAACTTTAAAAAGTACCAATATTATCTTTAAACTTTCATTTTCGATACCAAAATCGTCCTTTCGTCAGTTAAATGGACAGGTGTCACGTTAACTTACCAACAAATCAATTTTTTTTCTTAACTAATGACATGGTCCCTTTTTTTATGAGTTGGCATTTAATTTAATTTAAAAATAATGATTTTTTTTTCCATCCATGCCATCTCTTCTTCCTCTTTCACTTTCTCTCTCTCTTATCCCTTCTTCTTCCTCTCAAATCAAACCCAGATCTGGGTTTTTCTTAAACCCAGATGACTCCTCCGACACCACTGAAACACAACAAAAGAGAAACTAAATCACAGTCTAACAAAAAAACCTCAAATATGCATTCGAATTTCACCAAATCAAGTCAAATCACATGGATGCGAATAAATCAAAAAGAAACAGTACTGAACCACCAGAGGCTTGATCTGTAGCAAACTAGAACCCAAAATGCCGGCAAAATTAGTATAGAAACCAATGAGAACTGGTTTAAAGAGAATTGAAAATTCTAGTTCCATCAAGACAAAGAAAAGTAGCAAAATCAAGACCAAGAATCAACCACAAAAGTTAGAAAAAATAGAACAACAATGAAGCTCTCACCAGTGGCTAGCTTGTTCTTGAGAGAAATAGAGAAGAATCTTTAAACGCAGAAAAAAAGATAGGGTTTCGAGATTTACAAAATAGATGCCATTGCAATTCACAGAGCTCCACAGCTTCTACGAATGTTCATGTGCTTTTCTTTATGCATGTTTGAGAAGAACCCAAATCTGGGTTTGAGAAAAACCCAGTTCTCAAACCCAGATCTGGGTGTCTCTTAGGCTTAGATAATTAAGTAGAAGCAGATTCACAATTTTTGTTTCTTTAAACGCCATCGCCGTTACTTCTTCTGGTGCTATCCCCGCTATCCATGGTGCCATCACCTCCACCATCACTCACATCCTCGTCACAATTGTTGCCATCACCTCGGGTGCTTGTCTCACCACCAAGGTCGATGTCACACCCCAGAACCCAAATCCGGGGACGTGGCAAACGCCGTGCACTCGTGAGACGGGTCCCACAAGTGCACAAGGCTCGGAACTTATCATATCACACTCTGATACCACCAAAATCTGAAGATCAAATTATAAAATTCTCTCTGATATCATAAAATCTCCAAATACAAGATCATGATTTGTTTCTAAAATTCATATCCAATTAAAATATGGCTAGCCTTCTAACTCGTCACTTCCTGTGGTTTCCCCGTCCTCGGTTTCACTTCCTGAAATGGTGGACAAGGAAAACTATGAGATAAACTCAATAAGTAAATATGGAGTGCCCCTTATCAAACTTAAAGCATGTAAACAAGTACAATCACGAAAACAGATACAGTACGGGTACGAAATAGACGTCTCCTCTATAGGTCACGGCTAGTGTATAATCCCCACTAGCAGGGCCACGATTTGCTGGTGTATAACCCCCACTAGCTGGGTTGAACAAACCGGCTCTATCACTACATGTCGACATGTGCTAGCGTT